CGGCGATGAGGAGACCCTGCCGTTAATCTCGCTGGATGAAGAGTTGAACCCTGGACTAGGACCTGTGCTGCCTTCAACAGGTCCTTGGAATCCAGAGAACACCAATCCCTTTGTACATAGTTTGTGGACTCCTTCTAAGCCTAACCTCGGTCTTCAGACCTCCCTTAACCCTTTCATGGGGGTAGTTCCTGACGATGTTAATGTAGAAATAAATACTGTTCCGTTCGATGTTCCTCCTGTGCCTCGTCCGTTTATTGGAGAGAAGACAGCCCACACCAGCGAACCTTCACACAGTAATGTCACAACTAAAGTAGGCATGTTGAATGAGTGGTGGCTTTGGGATTCAACTGTGCAAGTTCCATTCATTCAGTGGGCCTGCTTTAGATGCGACTGACTACTAACTTTGAGCCAATAGTTAGGATTAACCTATCATGGATAAATGAGATAGCTGCAGATATGCATCTAGAGTAGCCACCAAGCTGACAAAATGGCAACTTAAACCAAATCTATTGGACTTTAAACTAGATAATGCAACGTTTAAAGGCTCATAACTTTTAAGATGCAAGCATTAATCTAATCAACTTCCCTCTTTTTAAAAAGAAAATAAAATCTACCTTTGGTGTCAGAGCTTGCTGAATAGCTGAATGCACTGGAGATGGGAGTTTAATACCCCATGTGCCTCCTGGGAGAAAAGCTATCCTTTGTGGACTTGGGCAAACTGCATAGTCCCAGGGCACTACCAGAATGAAGGACTGCACTTTTAGTATTTGTATGTATAAAAACCTTGCCATAATTGACTTCATGGCAGATAATTATTATTCCTTTTGGCAACAAGCATAACCTGCAGTCCATACCAGAATGAAGGACTGCACTTTTAGTGTTTGTATGTATAAAAACCTTGTCATAATTGACTTGATGGCAGATAATTATTATTCGTTTTGGCAACAAGCATAACCTGCAGTCCATAGAGAGCTTTCTAGCATTATGTGGTTTATTTTGCCACTGGGATTAGTTTAAAAATCATAATGAATTTCTGTGCTTTGATGGGGGAAAATACAGTATACTCTCCATCAGATGGATCTCCTTTCTCTTCATTACCTAGGCAGCTCTGATTTGGCCCAATTAAACTCATGCAGTGTTACTTCTTGATATAACTGAGTTTGATCCTTTGTCCCATCTCTCAAGAAAATGAGACAAATAAGTTTTTTAAAATGCTCCTAGATCTGTTCAGTCACCTTGGTGAGGTTATATAAACAGAGATAATTTTGAAGTCTCTGTGTGGAGATTATTCCTATAATTCAGATTTGTAGGGTCTTTTAAAGAAGGTATCTTAGAGGGGACTATTCATTCATTTGCTGCAAAGAACTAAGGTTCCGTATAGATACCCTATAGTGCTTTTCAAATATGCTTCAAGGCAGATTTTGTTAAAATTACTTTTCATCTTGCAACTCACAGAACCATAGTCACAATGCTGACTGGAATATTTGGCAAAGTACTGTATACTCAAAATTCCAAGTGGGAATACTACTGTGATACAGTGGATAGAGTGGCAAACTAGGAGAAGACCTGAGGTAAAATCCCCCTTCAGCCATTAAAACTTACTGATTGTTGGTTAAACCTTAGTTATATCACTAATTTGAAGCCCTGTTAGGATTGCTATAAGTCAGTTCCAATTTGACAGGACATAATTTGTTGTTTAGTCATTAAGTCGTGTCCAACTCTTCATGACCCCATGAACCAGAGCCCACCAGGCCCTCCTGTCTTCCACTGCTTCCTGAAGTTTGGTCAAATTCATGGTTGTAGCTTCGATGATACCATCCATCCATCTCATCCTCTGTCGTCCCCTTCTCCTCTTGCCTTCACACTTTCCCAACATCAGGGTCTCTTCCAGGGAGTCTTCTCTTCTCATGAGATGGCCAAAGTATTGGAGCCTCAGCTTCAGGATCTGTCCTTCTAGTAGTAAAAAAAAAGTGATTTTACTAAGCTCATCCCTCAGATTCTTTAGATACCCATCAGAGTTCCTTAGTAAAATGGCATTTGTGACTTTATCTCCACTGAAATCTTGCAAACCTAAATTAGTCATGATTAATTCATCCTGTTGATTGAATGAGAACAAAGCCTAGCTGAACGTAACTCGAATCCTGCCTGATGTTGTATTCTAGGAAAGTATTTTTTTAAAAACCCTCTGCCTTTCTGGCCTACATTGAAAGTTTCCCTTCTCTTAAAAAGGAAAAGAAAAGAAATGTAGCTTGCAATGGAAATGGAAGGAGGAAAATAAAATTTGAGTAGAATGTATTTAGCGTATCAACCAATGTAGGAGAAAGTTTGAGCTATTTTGTTATGTTGGATTTAGAGATCAAAAGAATTATTTTCTGGGAAATGGGAAAGATTGGGCCAGATCTGGCTAAGGGCCACTCTTCTATTCTCTGTTGTGGAGTTATATGGTTGTGTTGTTATGTTCATAATGCATTGCAAAAGCATCTGGAATTCAGGAAATACAGTTTTCTGGGAATATTTTTATATACATTTTTTTACAAATTCTGATTTGGACCCAGTTCTAGTGTATAGTGAGGGAACAGATTTGCTCCCTCTCTGATCAAGCTGCCCCTCAAGTCTCACATGTTTGAAATACCTCCTTGTCTTTTGAAGAGGCAGGGAAGGGAATAGAACCGAATGCTACTTTTCATTCCAGAGCAGTCATTCACGTTAAATCATTCCAGTCAGCACAATTTAGAGCAGGCTGAAAGCTAAAGATGAGAGGCTGAAGAAAGTCAGCTTTAAGGCAATTTTGTTCTCATTGTTTCTTGATTTTCTTGAAGTATGGCACACCTTAAATTGAACTTTGCTATATCTGAGAGAAGAGCTGTCATCTTCTCCTCCTGTGCCTAGTGTGCTACATTTGTATGAGAATGTTGCTTTCACATTAGTGTGGTGTATGTGCTTCTGGTACAATAGAAATAATTCCAAGAAATTACTAGGGGTACACATAAACAGATTCCTGTAACCCAGTTGCATAGATATTATCATGCAAGTGCAAAGGAAGCCTGAGTGCAGGGCATAAGCCTACTGTTGTAAGTACATGATAGCAAATATGGTATAATGGAGACAGTATTGGATCAAGCATCAGGCAATCTGGGTTCCAATCCTTGCTTAGCCATGGCAACTCAATGGTAAATTATGACTTGAACATCTTGCATAGCTTAAAAACCCTACTCGGTTTGCCAGTGTGATACAGTGGATAGAGTGACAGACTAGGACTCCAGAGAAATCTCCACGTGGTCACAAAAACTCACTGGGAGAGTAAAACTGGTAAAAGTGTTCCTTAAATATCCAACTTACCTTGAAAGTCTTCTTAGGGATGCTAAGTCAGTCCTGACTTGGTGGCACAGAACACATACACAGGTTTGCCGCAAGTTGGAATTGATTTGACAACACATAACACACACATATGTGTACAGTATATAAGCTACATAGAAGTAGCTTTTGAATATGATGCAGGTGTGCTGGAATTGTGTCTTTCAAACTCTAACATGATTTCCAGCTAGAGTGATGTATCACCTGTGACATGTAGTTTAGTCTTGATTGGAGGCCATGCTAACTGCGGCTGACCGTTTTACTCCAGCCTCTTCCAAGGAGTTCACGTTGACACATATGAGGACATCTGCTTGATCCTTGCAAGTCCGTGAGGTCAATCAGATTGAGAGATGCTGATGTACCCACTGTCACATAGTAAACATGGCTAAATGGGGATTTGAATCTGAGTCTTCCAAGCCAAAATGCAGCATCTGATGTGCCGCATGCCCTTGGTGGCA